CGGTTTTCACCCTCTACCTCTGCTTCCCCTGCAGAATTTGGCCGGCTGAAGAGGGACACACCCCTTCCTATCAGCTTAACAAGCTATTGACATTGTCTTTCTGAGAGACTCATACTTGAATTTCTCTTCCTCCAGGAAGACTGTCAAAGCACAGGCAATGGGGAACCCCAGCTGATTCTGCAGCCTCTGCACACATTCTCCTTGGTAAGTTGTCGACATTCCCACAGGAACTGGAAATGCTAAGTTGTTAATAGCCTCCTTAGGGTTTAACTTCTTGCGATGATGCTTTCAGTGATTTCATCATGTTTTAGGCAAAGTCTCACAATTAATGCTTTGAAGCATCACACTTAAGGAGCATCTCTACCTGCCTGCCTCCCCCCACCCCTTTGAGGGCCTTTTCTCTCCATTTCCCCCAGGGAGTGGTTGGCTCAGGTAGCTGGCTGGAAAGTGGGAAATCTAGTTCTGCTCTCTTTTGTTTCCTTGGTGGTTCTCTTAGGGCAGCCTCAGGCCCAGCATCAGCACAGCACATCAGCGTGGCTCGGAGCTTGTTGGAAACACAGATTCTCAGACTTACTGAATAAAAACCTGGAGGTGGGAGACATGCAGCAATCTATGTTTAACAAGTCCCCCAGGTGGTTTGAGGACACAGCCCAGTTTAAGACAATGCTGTCTTGGGGTAAGAGGAGGCACGGAAGCTGGAAGCATGTTCCGCTGGCAGAGAGCCAGATTGGCTATGAGACTTTTGTCCCTTCTGAGATTCACCTCTTTCAGGACGAGAACTGTCCAAAACAGAGCAAGCCCAGGACATCCCTAAGAATCTCTTCATGTGGAATTCCAACATCCCTCACTGACAGGGCAGGGAACAGACCCAGGCTTTCTATCAAGTACGGGGCGCTCTTTGCGCTAGACAACATCCAAACCAGTTTATGTCAGACAGATGGTGTCCTCACCACTTTCATAAAAGCTGAAATGTTTGAGGAAGCAGCTGTGGCACACTGCATGGGTGGGGTCAACCTGGACTCTGTTTCCCTGTCTGGGCTCACAAATGTGATGTGTTGCCCTCTTCTGGATCAGTCTTTTCAAATGCCTGTGCTCTTCTGGTGAAAGGTGTTTTAACCTGTTCTGTTTCATAAAGGTCTCTCTAGACCCAGCATCTCCACTTGGGCATCTCCTCAGAAATGCCTTATGCATTATTAGGTTGCAATGTTTCCTGACGCCTGAATGAAAAAGAATGAATCTTATTTTTTCAGGTCTCATTAAAAACCTGCAGTAAATCAGGAATGGTTTTGATTTAAGGTTATACATTGGTCACTTTACATTTCTATATACAGTGGGGTACCGACTTTTGATGCAGAGCTCTCTAAGCCGGGTGGGATGTCCCTGGAATTTAAGGTCCTTGAGTCAAGTTTTAGGCTTCCTCAAGAACATCTCAAAGACTCCTTTATTATTGACATGCTGTTTGTTTCTGAAATTAATCACTGGGTATGTAATGCAGCCACATTAGAGTCTTTCTCATCGACAAGTAATACTGCTGATCTACACATGTGCCGAAACAGCTAAGCACAAAGCATCATTTCCAACACACTTAGAGACTGTTCTGGGTGCCCAACTTTTTTCAGGTATTAAATCCCCAGGCCTCTCTAGAGGAGAACACAGACATATAGGTGTTTGATGTTTCCTGAAATGTATATAGGTGTATATATATTTCCTTTCTTAAACATATGTTTTTAGAAAACTTCCCTGTTTTTCCAATTAGATAGGGCACAAAAGGAGTACAACTGTCCCCAAGTGGAACGGGTCACCCTGGAAAGCCATAACCTCCCATTCACTCTGGGTCTTCAAGAAAAGAATGAGTGATAACCCACCGTAATGGGGAAGGATCTCTATATTGGTGATATAGGCCAAAATAAAGGACCCTGACACTCTTTTCCAGCTCCAAGATCCTCAAATCCCCTCTTCCCCAGGCAGTAGCCAACTTACAGACTACACTTAAAACACATCCTGAAAGTTTGTACAGTTTCCTGAATGAACCAATTCCAATTTTATCACTATTATTGGATCCAAATCACAAAAATAACGAGTGCAGCTAGTCTGGGATACAGGCTTCTTTAACCGGAAAGCAAGTCCACCAAATGCCCTTCTAGCTCTTAACCCTCCCTTTACAATAGATACCAGCGCCTCTCTCTCTGATTCTGTGTCTTAACAAAGTATTATAGAGCAAACATTAGCTATGCCTATGTCTTGAGTCATGTCAATCTAAACTGAAAATGTGCCAGCTTTATCATTGCTAACAGACTTCTTAATTAACCTTCTGATATTGTCAAAATTGCATTCCCTTTTGTTCTAGAAATGAGCATTTAAATAAGCATTTTTTTCCATTTTTTTTTTTTTTTTTTTTTTAGATATGGTTTTACCAAATTGTGATGCTCTTTAAAAAGTGTATTTTGGGAAGACTTTCTGTAATTTAGCTCAGTGGTTAAAAGCGTCGACTTCAGCTCGGGTCATGTGATCTCCGCAGTCCTGCACCTGGGGTTCGAGCCACATTGAGATAAATGCTGACAAGCTCAGGAGGAGAGCCCTGGAGCCTGTTTGGGATTCTGTGTCTCCCTCTCTCTCTGACCCT